AATGTATGCTGTACACACGCGCGCTAATTTGACTTCCGGTTGCTAGCTATTTACAATTACAAGCTCATTTCCTTATCCTTTTCCTTTTAATTGTTAAACATATCATTTAACCATTCACACTTATCATATACGCGGGAAGATACATACTGGGGAATAGAGTTAATTTAAAATCAAACTAATTGAAATAGACATTTCAACCAGAGACGTACATAACAGAGACGTATATAACACTTTATACGTCTCTGTTTCAACTTACCGAAAATAGACCTGTTAATAATATCAAACTGAATCTTCCGACCTGATCCCTTTTCAAATCAATTTCAAAAAGTGACCGGAAGCTAAAACAAACCTACACGGATACTAACGACACAAACTTTCGACCAACTAAATAACTTCGTCAAAGTCCGTCACGTACGTGTCTTGCCTGTCACTGACCACAACTCGCATACCAAACGCCACAATACATATACGTACAAATAAAGCGCCGCACCCGCCCGAATATATCCCGCGCGGAGCTGTAACTCATATATCAAGACGTTACGTTACGTCTTGCGTCGGCAATTTTATAAACACGGACATTATATTAGTATCAATTTATACGAACAGTATTACAAATATAACATTCATGCATGTGCTATATAGTATGAATATAACATATTACAAACAATACATTCAATCATATATTATATTATATCACGGACTTAGTTAGAATTCACATTGTATGTCGGTTAGTTTGGTTTGAATAATGGGAGATAACTCGAATGACAAAAGGTTATCAAAACCAGAGACGTATATATAGTTGCAACAAAGCACAAGAGAGATTAATATCAACTGGAATAAATAAATAAATTAAACCTGTTTCATGATTTTTGTAAAATTAGTTTTATGTATTAAATAGGCTAGATATAAACACGTCATTTTATCTATCAAGCATTTGGAACATTTTGTTACAATATTACGTTAGAACCTTACAGTACTCAAAATCAGAACACTTGAAGGAAAAAGTCACATGAAATTTGCATGCTGTGCAAAGAAGTATTTTTAAATTGAAAATATTGATTTCAAGATGCTAATATACCGATAAAAAATTATATGAACTTTATTTATAAATAATGACAAAAATGTAACTAAAATGAAGCGCCATGCGACGTTAATGATTTTCAATTTTTGTATGTGACTTGGTAGTTTGGAAAAGAAATGCATTCAGAACAACCATTGACTCTTTAAATGTTCCAAAAGATATGCCATGTTCTACTCAATACTTTTTTTCATCTCCAAATATAAGGAGTGTCCCGATTTGGGTACAGCTACACCTGTTTCGCGATTACGTAATCTTGAATATATTTCCGGTTCTATTTATAGAACCACGCGCCGGAAATATCTACTTGTTATCATAATGAAAAGATCATGATATCTATTTAGGAAAAATGAACAAAAATTACTGGGATCGGCAACATGGTATGAAATACATCATTATTTCACAAAAAACTGTCCCTTTATGACGAATGTGTTATATAACTACCATGTATGATATAATGACCATATACACTGTACTACAATGTATGATATAATGACCACAAACACTGTACTACAATGAATGATATAATGACCACATACACTGTACTACAATGTATGATACAATGACCACATACACTGTACTACCATGTATGATATAAGGACCATATACACTGTACTACAATGTATGATATAATGACCACATACAACACTGTACTACAATGTATAATATAATGACCACATACAACACTGTACTACCATGTATAATATAATGACCACATACACTGTACTACCATGTATGATATAAGGACCATATACACTGTACAACAATGTATGATATAATGACCACATACAACACTGTACTACAAT